TCATGTTCTTTTCATTGGATGCGTGTCGCGGGTAAACATTTGAAACAAAAGACGTACTAATCTGTGATTAATCATTAACATAAAATGTAGACAGGAAATCACGCAAATATGACGTCATTTTCCCCAGAGTTCATTGCAATCAACAACTGCACGCCATTTTATTGTGTCTCTGTCGATACTTTCAGTAATACTAAAGTGTAAGTTGTTACAGTGAATCCTGACAAAACCTGTCGCTCGGTTTAAACTCAAAACAAATTTGCCTGCGTGTATGGCATTTTCGTTTCTAAATAAAAAGATCGGCAGAAAACTGAAATAAAAAAACCAAACAAAACATGATCAGAAAAAAAGACGTCAAAGAAACCATACAAGTGTTTATATTTCAGCCAGGCGAAAGTTTTAATGAGGAGCCATGATACCACGTACATTTTGTTGGAAATAAACAAAATATGCGATAAGATAACTGAAATGACCCGCCCATGCTCTACAAAATGCATGTAAGCAGACCAAATATGCAACAACAGGCAGTTCCAATGAAATTAAAACGGTTAAAAAGGGTTCGAAAAATTGATTTGGCGAAGAGACTGCTAGAAAGTTGTACTGACAGTTCAATGTGTTCAAAAATTGTAGCGTTGACTAAAACCGCATTTAACGGCACACTGAATATTGCAACATGAAAAATTTTCCCAAAAAACTGAAACAAGGACAGACAAGAACAATTAAACAGGCATTTTATGAAACTGGCGGAAAATGTTGAATACATTTTCAACAATTTTTACGGCGTCTACAAAAAAAGTGTTATGACTTTGAACAAAATGGCTAAAATTCATTTGATAGTATTTTTTTATAATATAATGTATTTTAAAATAGTGACTTAGGGGTTAGAATTTTTGTCACTTTTCTACCGGGACCCAAGCTTACTCTCATGACAACAGTGAAAACGATAAATGACGATTCTCGATTCTGAATGTTTTCACAGTCACAAAGAGTACTCATCCGAAATGTACGTGTAGTTCTTCGTAGAGCTTGTTCACTAAACGTGGATATTCTATCGAATACGAGCTTAAAATTTCAAATTCGCGGAACATCAAGTGATCGACACAAAAATGAAACAAAATGGTGGACCTTGAAATCTCAAGCAATAGAGGGCGTACACAGCGCGACACGCATCCTTGAGGGATTAGGCAGATTCACACCTTTTAACAATGGCGTTTCCTAACCGTCTTTTTTAGTAACCGTGCTTGCATGGACAGCAAAAAAGATCGACTATTGATGCTCGGCAAATGGCGTTAACATTACTCTGTCAAAGAAATATTTAAAATAACTGACAAAAACATTGACAAAATAGTAACCCCCGTTACTGGCACGCCGACCGCCCAGGAAAAACCAGGAATAAAACGAACCCCTTTGGGGACAAAAAGTACCTGGAAACCTGTACCCGTCGCACTGTCGAACGTGCCCAGGGGAAGGTGGCGGGTGTCGCCCTGTATTATACAACAAGCATTAACAAACTTACAAAACAACCAGTTGAAAACTGCACGTAGCGAGACTGGCCTAGATTGACATTCAACCTTCTGTCCTCCACTTAACTACCCCTTGTCACATGACCCCCCACATACCATACCCGTCTGTTTGCCATCACGCACAGACAATAGTTAACCGCTATACTGCGAAACGCAGTTAACAATATTTATTGTCGCTTGGGGCTCAATTCCCGCGCGTGCGCAGGTGACGACGCTCCCGCTTTAATGATAATGCTCTTCTTTATTTTGCAATTACGTCTTCCGAATTGATCGATTGTTATTTTTTTGAAATGATATTACAACTTTTTTGACAATTCCTTTGCTCCGGCAATACGTTATTATTTGTGATTTGTATAGCAGCAACTAGTATGTCGTCAATTTAAATAACATATATGTATTATATTTACAATCAATTCGAAAAAAAATCCGTTATTATGTTTTAGACAGTAATATATATTAAAGACATAATATAAAATAAAATATTCCGTTTATCAAGCTCCTGTCCAGACCCGCCAGCACCATGTGACAAAGCATGGCGTGATGGTCCCCAGCCAAATGGACAACCACTGAAGGGAGCTGTATCCGGAGGTCCCGACAACATGGACCATATCTTTGATAGCAGGAATAACTATATGCAAACTGAACCAAGCATTACCGCAACAGGATTTGTCTCGAGTATTGCTGGTAAGCGATCGGACTCCATGTAAATGAACCCAAATGTAAAACTCGTGTAGAATGCATTAAAATGAAAAACTGAAACTGAGAATATTCGGACCCAAAGAAAATATGTTTTTTGGAGATTGACATTCCCTTAAAAAAAGTTGCATGATATTGCCCTCTTTACCAGTCAATACGTGTTATATACCTGATATATTTTAAGTGGGCCATGCAGTATAATATATTTTTTTTATTATTAGGTATGTTGTATTTCCGGGATGTCTTGGAATACACGGACCCTCTTACTGCCTAGAGATGGACACAGAATCCGAAGTGTTATCGAAAATTATAAGGCTTGATTAGAATTTCAATTATCGTTTAAAAGTGTTATTCTATTTTGCTTTGTTGGTGAAGGGAAATCGTTTTATCCGTCTCAATAAATACTTATATATAGAGCAACAGGGATTGTTTTATTCCTGCGAATTTCACATTATTGTCGTGCCTTTTTGCCTATACATAACATATAGTACGTGATATTGGTTAATGGATTTGAATGACACAGTCACAGATACGCTCCATCACTAGAGGGCGCGATTCAATGGTGTGTTGGAAAATATATATTCTAGAATTTGGTATTGAACGGTCGTAAAATGAAAATGTAATAGAATTGTAGTTTATACAAGGGCAATCCCAAATTCACATAAAAATCATTACTCATATTTTATTGCTAACTGTGAGTATTCCTGTGCTATTCGTTGAGAAAGTTAATCGTGTATGCTTGGCATAATGTTGTATGCACATCTAGTATGTATTGTATTCTCGGGTATTTGGTAACAGAGACATATAGTCGCATTTAGAAAACCGATGCGCTGCTAAACTTGAATAATTAACTCAATGTAACGTGACGTGGGTGTACTAAAACATGATAGCTGAGTCTATTCTCAATGAATATTTGCACAGTTGCCAATGCGTTGATCACTACCACATAGCGGGTTCAACCAAGAAAATGAAAGTCTTGCTCGTCTACAGTCCCATCATCTACAAACAAATTAGAGAAATGGGAATATTGTTTTACTGTGTGCAAATATGAGTCATTTATAATCTCCAGTACAATTAACTTCATTAACGTGACTGGTGAATTTAATATCTGGAACAGTTTTCGTCGCTATCTTTTTGCACTTTTTTTTTATGTTTGCGAAGTAATACTGCGACAATATTCACATTTGTCACAGTATAACGAATGGACTAGACTATATCGGTTCTAAATATGTTGAAAAATCTACTTGTTTTAATGATACAAAGTTCGACAGGTCACTGTTTTGGGCAGTTGTAGAGCAAACAGTTGTTTTTTTGTTTTCCTTCTCCATTTTCATAGTGGAATAAAAACTATGGAAAAAGAGAGGATGTAACATTGGCGTTGGCATACCTTTGTTGTCAGTCTCCTTTTGGGGGTTAATTGGATGGTGCTTTTTGTTTTATAAGGTCTATGATCAAGTCAATTCAGTGATAAACTACTAGTACAATGACGTCATTGTGCACCCCTGACACACAAATGAAGATGCACGTGTGAAATACAGCTTTCGCACTGGTATGCAAGTCAGTGCCTTTCACTATAGCCCCACACAGGACTATTCTACAGACACATTACTGGCAAGGTTTCGTAATGTAGCTTGTTAAAAGCGCTCAACTCAGTACTAAGATGCAATAATAGATCTGAAACACAAATGGCTGTCGAAACACAAATGGCCGTCGAAGTGTCATAGAGATCGAGATAGCCGCTAGAATGTTTCACCCCTCGATTAGTGCTCCTTTATATCCCGTAACCGCCAAACACCATGGTTACAAAAAACGGTTTTAGTATAACCGTTGTCACGGGAACAGTGGACCTTTTTTCCCATCAAAACATAGGTCATTTATTTCTTCTCTTGGACAAAATAAACATAATTTTCCATTGACTGAAGCATGCTACGCGTCCAGCAAATACATTGTCAGGGAAGGGCCACAAATTCTTAATGTGGTTATTTTATTCAACTCCGAGATATAAAGCATTGCTCCCAACGTGCTCTCAACTCGGAGCTCAGATTCATGCTTACAAAGAAAAAATACTAGATATTACGTCACACAGTCAGTGGGAAGATGTTTTATTTCATAAAAGTGGCAAGTGAAAATATATAAATCAAACCACGGTCACTTTATTTAGTAATCCTTGTTAAACTAATGTTATTTTATCAAGTGCTACATTTAGGTAGAACGATGTTTACTCAGTTCATTTTATATAAACAACAACAACAACAACAACAACAATTGCGTACATATTCTGGTCGTAAAATACAAAACAGTTGTGAAACTAAGATGATTGAAACAAAGACGACAATTACGAAAATATGTTTTTTCAAAATAATAGGATAATCGCTTCACTATTTGTAAACATGACATGCATTACAAAACAGAAAAGGTTTCATCTTCAGATCTGCATGTCATTTTTTCCGAATGTTGATTACATTCATTTTATTTTCCGGCGCGCAATATACACACATAATATAACACTGATATATGTTGACAATCGGAAGAAAATTTACGCGATACTCGTAAATGGAAACGTATCATACTGAGGAAATAAAAGAAGTCCAGTAAATGACCGTTGTTTCCGAGCGTCTAGGTACCACCTCGGATTCGGCGAGCAAGGTGAATGTCCTTGGGCATGATGGTGACACGTTTAGCG